ATAGTAAAATAAAGGAAAAAATTTATTATGTTAAAGAACTCTATTTTATATAATATTTTTTTTAATCTTCTCCCTCTTGTTTTTATCTTCTTTATGTCTATTTCTATTTCATGTTGCAAGTATTTAGTATTTATAGTGTTGGGTGAAAATAATTTTTTAAATAATTTTTTTTGTTTTTTAGGTATTTTTGTGTTTTTTTAAAGAATAAAACTAGTTTTGTTTGGGGTTCATGATTGTCTCTCTCAACCAGTATGCTTTCTGAAAATCAAATTTGTATCTTTATCCTTATAGGGATATAACAATATTTTAAATGCTAATTTAACACTTTATTGATATATATATTAAGATAATTTTTTGAATTTAAAACTTAATTGTAAGGACTAATATATTTTTCTAGGATATTTTGAAGAAGATTTTAAAAAGTATTTAAAATATATATAAATCTAAAAATTTCCTCAAATCACTACTTTTTGTACATCACGAAATTGGATGGTGAGATTACTAACTCTTGGCATGTGTCTTGGACAAACGTAATTATTTTGCCCCATTAAATTGAACATGAACAGTACAATTCTGGGATGATTTATGTCTGGTAAGATGATTTTGAGTTTTGTATACAAGGTTTATTTGCAGATAAAAATGAACCATTATCTCTTGTTTGTTTGAGTGTATGTATTTTTTAAAAGTATTTTTACATTTTAAGGATACATCACAATAATTTTTTAAAATAATTCTTTTAGCATATCAAAATTATAGAAAAATATTAATTTAATATTTTTAAAAAAATAAATACACTTTTTAAACACAAGTAAAAATACAATATTAAAGCCTTCGCTATGGGAATTAAATCATACTATAAACCAAAAGTCCTGTATTAATTATGGTATCGGTTCATTTTCGCAAAAATACTTTGCACCTCGACAAGGACCGTAAATGAAAGACTGTCCTTCAGATCTTAGCGACGGCAATTATTCATCGAATACTCACGTCCTCGACTGCTAAAATGAGCTAGATTACTTCTATACATTGTTAGAACTTGAAATATTTATTAATTTGAAGGTTTCAAGGCTAAATTCCCCTCTAGCTCTGTTGTGATTGTAAGTTGAATATACAAGTTTTAGACAGTGTTTTATTATTGTTTTGGAATAGAAAAAAGGGGATGGTGAAAATAAAATAAAATAAAATAAAAACTTGTTATTTTTTATTTTATTTTAAAAATATATAAATTTACTCTAAAATCGGTATGGAAACAAATATGTTTTTATGTCTTCTTTTTATTTTAGTTTTTTTTTTCATTTTATTTTTTTAACAAAGAGATTTTTTTTTTTTTTTATCTTAAAGAACATATGAACATATGGAAGGGATTTTCTCTTACATTCTTCCAAGAGACATGTTTAATTTACTAGTGCATCATGATCATACTCACTCTAGATTTAGAAAGAGAGGCATGCGTGAGGACTCAAAAATGGAAAGAAAAGTTATTCAATTTGAACTTTTCATTGGAAAAGAGAGTTGCGAGAAATATATTAAGCTCAAATCAAATCAAGCACATCAATTCCTATCTGTATAAGCTTTTTTAGTTATGCAACTACTTTTTCTAGGTTATATGAAACATGGCAAGACCGATCTGATCCACGCTTTATAATAAGCTCAAATGGAAGAAGCCAAAACATCTAGTTGTCTTCTAAACGACAGGAGGTTAGATCATTGACAGAATTGAAACGTGGAGCCCTTGTTCCATTCATTGAACTGACCCCATGTAATAGATGTTTCATCCAGCTTGTTTATGGTTGGAAATTTCCCAGCTGGTAATATATGCCAACAGGGACAGACGAAGGTGGCTCCGAAGCATGAATGTCATTGGCGTATTCGAGGTGGATAAGATTTCTGGGCAGCCATTAGCCACACAAACTATATCCATGCTATAAAATTTCAGTTCTTCTGATTGTTTGATTGATGAACTTGATGCCACTGCCAGCGTAAGCAATGCCAGCGAACGAGGTATGTAACGCGTCTTCTGCAAAAATTGAGTCCTTGCTTGATGCATGGCATGGATAAATGGTTAGTTTTGCCCAACCTAGCTATTTGCCCACCTTCCTTTATTGACCAAAAATAGGTGACTTTTCAATGAAGTCAATGATGAAGATATTTTGTAACTAATGCAAATTCAAATTAATGATGAATGATTCTGTAGGCACAAGCCCACACGTAAAATTTGAAAGAAAAGCATGCATGTAGACATGATCGAAGCACTTGCCTGTTCACGCTGTCCCTTTTTATGATGGCGCAACGGGACAACATTCAAGTAGTGGCAAAAACAAGTGACAACCTTCAAGTTGTGGCAAAGATGATGCTCAGAATTTAGGCGCTGTCGAGTGCTCGTGAAAATAGCGATAATAACAGCCATGCAGACCTGAAATCTAGCTAGAAAGTAAACCAGCTGTTGTTCATTTTCAGTTTTCTGTGGTTGAGAAGTGAAGAAAAAAGAGAATTAGGCCTTTATTGTTCCGTTTCAGAACCTTTCCGTGTCTTGGTCTCATGCTCAAAAGTGGTTCTCCTTCTACCTTTTCTATCTTCTCATCTCCTTCCTTGTCCAGCCCCTTGTATCGGAAAGTGTGGTTACCAGCGATTCAATTGAAAATAAATCTAATATCGCATAAAGAAAGCTGTCTTTGCCCGTTATAAGAAAACTGAATTAAGGTCACTATCATCCATTCTAGATTCTCCAATTTCAGTAGATGATCAGCAGTCCATTACTTGACCCCTAGCAAGCAGAAATCCTCCTCCTGGGTGTTTTAAAAGAAGAGTGCAAGTCGACAGAGTCATTTAAAAGGGACTTTCGCCATCAATCCCCAGACTCAAAACATTTCTGTTTTCAGAGTAAATTCTACCGGTCCATATTTAAAACCAAAATTATAGAAACCAACTCGAGAGTCTCAAATTAGTCTATGGTCCGAATTGATAGTTAACTCGAGTTATGATTTTTTTCAATTAGCATATTATTGAGTTAAAATTACTGATCCGAGTCAAGTTTTATAACCATCGACTTAGTTTGCACAAGCACAAATTAACCGTGATAAAATTATATTAATATAATTTTATAGTACAGGATGAAAGGTGCCATCTAAGATATACACTGAGCCGAACCATATTTTAACCCAAAAGGCTCGGTAAAAATTGAAGCCCACTTCGAGCTTAACCCTGAAGGTTCCCTAGCACTGTAGCACACACCATTAAATGATCTATAGAAGACGATACTCGATCCAGTCCGATTGCTTGAAACTTGAAAGTGGCAGGGGTTGGAGATGGGCTGTGACTGTCGGCTCAATCCCGATTCGTTTTATTACATGGTCTGTATGAGCATCGCCTCCTCTTGGCCCAATAGGCGAAAGTCGAAACAGAAGGGCAAATATAATTTTTTCGGCGCCATCAACCCATTTCGATATAGACAAGTCACGGGCAAATGGCTGCAAGCTAAATAGCTATAACAGTGCAGAAACGAAAAGGTCTTTACATTTCCATCATTCTTGAATCCTGCCTGTGTCGCCTTTTGTATGTTTATGAATCTGTGGGCAGTGGCTCGAAGGTTCACGGACAAAAGTTCTTGGAGCTTATCCCAATCATAGAGACCGCTTTAGCTCCAACCTCGTTGATAGTCGAGAGGCTCGCCTCCTTTGTGTACACTCATTTATATTAAAATTATGAGCACTCGTAAAATTATATAAAAATATATAATTTTACAAGTTAATATTTATTTCATATGTAACATTAAATTAAAACTTAAAAATTAATAAAATTATATTTAATTGTATAAAATTAATAAATTTTATTTTATTTTATAAGTTTACTAAATTTTTTATATGAATCAAGTTAAATCTAAAATTAACTTTAAAATATTTACTAATCAATTTTATAAAATTGAGCATATTTTTCAAAATATAAATTAGATAAAATGAAATTTTACAAGAAAACATTAGACACATGAAAATATATTATGATAAATTTCCAATACTAATAGAATTCAGAAGCATAATGTTTTAGAGGGTTAACGTTAGTAGATAATCTTGTCAAATATATCAAACTAAATCTTCATGTACTATTTGAGACATATCTAAAACTACTAAATGAATTTAATTGTGATTGAAATTGATTTGTAAATTAGACAATTATAACTTTCCAATCATATATCATAAGCCTAATAACTCATCCAAATGTGAGAAAATGACATATTTGAAATTAAAATTCAAATTTGTCAAAAATATACAAAAATTAGAGATTTGGATTATATAGAGGAATTTTAACATGAAATTTTTTTATTATTTTATTATTTTTTTATTTATTTTTAAATGATTATTTTTTATTTAATTTTTTCTAACGTATTAGACTTAGAAGTTTATTTTATTATTGAATTTATATTAATTAATTACTAATTTAAGCTTATTAGCTTAGAATAAAAAAAAATCTATTAAGATTTATTGTAATAAGAACAATTAAGTTATCACCAGGTTCATATATGCTTTTTATTATCCAGTATTCTTCTATATTAAAAAATTTTATTGTGAGATTTTTTAATTTTTTATGTTATTAATTTATTAATTCATATTATCTATTTTTTTATTTTATTTAAATTATTTATTGAATATAATATTATCGAATTTTTTTTATTATATTTTAATAAAATTTAATTTCTTAACTGAAATTATTAATATATAATTAATTTCAAAAATTTACTTCTAATTTTATGATTTTACTATTTGAATTTATAATTTAAATTTATATAATATTTTTTATATCTTGTATTTTACACAATCTTATTTGCGCTCCGGAATACCCATTTGTTTAATTTAAAAGTAGGTTACTTTATAAAAATTACCTTTTTTAAAATAAAAAACTATTTTCCTACGTACGAGCAGACAGTAACAGATAATGGCAAAGGATAGGAACAAGAAAAGGATGAGAACGTAGACCCCGCGCACATCAGCAATAATAAAAGGTTAAAAGACATTCACTCGTGCTGGGTGCTTTGATTCAGGCGATTGGAAGCTTTTGAGAAAATGGGATCTTTGATGGCTGGTTGGGACTCACCTGTCCCTGATCCTAGATCAAGTAAATAATCTTGGCAATCATGGTTATCTATATTTTCCTATGACACACATGCAGCTTTCATTTTGTTTTCCTTCGTCTGGTGTTAATTTGGTTTGTGTGATCTGTGGTTTCTGATAAGTGAAAAATTCAGTGAAGTACAGGAGGAATCGGTCACTTACTAGAGGAGAGATCGATGCTTACTGGAGATCAAAGAAGAGAATAGAAGAGGATCATCTCAAAGCTATTTCCGGTCTATCCAGTAGCAGTCAGGTCTATTATTTTTAACGGGCAGGCTTTTTTTTTGCCCTTTTGCTTGGATACTCTGTATCTTTACTTAAAGAGGTACCATGATGTTGCCATGTATGTGACAGGATGGCGTGGACGAGGATCATGGAATACAGTTTCAGAGATCAAGCTCCTTACCCGCAGCCACTACGAAGGAGGTGTTCATGGACATGGAGACTGATCAAGCAAGTTTGGAGCAACTTATCAAGAAAAATGGCTGGTAATTAATTAAGCTAAAGCCTCAGCAACAAACCCATTACAGCAACAAGTTCAAATTGAGGCGCGTTTTAATCTAGTTTCTGCTTTTTAATTAAGCCAAGCTGGTTATTGTAGGTGGGCAAGTAGCAACTGGGCATTCCTAAATGAGCCGCCAATTCTGGAACGTGCTTCTAACAATTACACACCGCATTTTCACGTTGCTAGTCTTGCCACCTCAAAATCCAATACTGGAATCAATGCGTAGTGATGGCCTTTCTTCCTCTATATAGGACTGCTGTGTGCCCGCCGTCTAGCTTTGCATATTCATGCCCCTTAATATCTAAGCTGCTAGGGTACGCTTTGGTAAGATAGTGTTCATATGGAGTGGACTGTGAGGAGTGGATTTTCTAGTGTGTGTGTGTTCCCTTCCTATCTGATCTGGACATGTTAAGAGTGTAAAATAGCTGGACATGCTAGGTTATAGACTTGTATTATCTGGTGTTCTTGGCATCTACTTTTGGATACTGTTTTCAAGATGTATCTTTTGTGATTTTGTCGTACTTGATATTAAAAAATTAAAATATTGTATTGATATATTTTTAATTAAAAAATATTTTAATAAAACGCGTTGCATCCCAATAACCAAACACACTAATCAAATGCTTAGAGATGTTTAGTAGGCTTTAAGGATCGGTTATATAATTATTAACAGAAATAACCAAAAACAAAAAACTGTAAGCATTCAGAACGAAAAACACTTTAAGACAATGATCCTCGGAGCCCCTATTTTAGGCTGACTATGAAGGGTTTGAATGGGCCTCTTGTCTTTCCTTTAGCTTACACTAGATATGTTGCGTTACCGCTCTGGCCGAACAATTTTTTTTAATGTAAAAGAAATAATAAGACAATTTAAATATTTATAAAAAACCCAATAATAGTAAATAAACTGACAGAAAAATAATTAACAAAAAAACTATATCAAGCCTATTTGGATTATCACAAATCAATATCAACCTAATAAATAAAGGAAAATTAAGCAAAAAAAAGCCAACTTCAAAAAAATAAAATAAAAAATACTAGCTTAAAAAATGGAGAGAAAAAATTAAGCAAACCTATAAGAACTATTTAAACCTAGTTTAGTCTAAAAAATTACAACTTGTTAAATAATAGACTAGAATTCAATAAAAAACTTAAATTTTTTCCAATTTAATTTTGAATGGTGGAACTATTATTTCAAAATCTATTAATAAAAAAAATTACAAAAAAAAAGAAGAACAAAAAAATAGGGCTAAATTTTAAAGGGAAAAAACCTAAAGAGAATAAAATCTAAAAAAATAAATTATTACAAACAAAATAAATTACAATTAAAAGAAATAGGAACAAACTTGAAAGATTAAAAAGTCATATAAGGTGAACTAGAAAACAATTGTTGATGACTAACCTAATAAAATCAAATAAAAATAAAAAACAAATTTTTTTAAAGAGAATTAAACCAAAAAAATAACAAAACAAAAGTAAAAAAAGGATAAAAAATAAGACAAGATCAAATTTAGAAAAAGAAAAAAAAAACTAGGCAAAATTTTTAAATCTAGTTTAATTTCTAAAAGTTAAATTCTATAAAAAATTTTATTTAGATTCAATTAAGAAACATAATTCTTTACTAATTTAATTTCAAAAGATAAGATCAATAGAAAAGTACTGATAAAAAAATTTACAAAAGCAATAAAAAAACGAAGTTAAAATTTGATATGAAAAACTCGATAATGATGCAATTTAATGAAAAAAATAAAAAAAAATAACCCCAAATAAAATATCAAATTTTAAAGATAAGAAAACCATGAGGAGTGAAAATTAAAAACATCTATAAAATCCAAGTAAACCTAGGCAAGCATCCTATTCTCCTAGGCAAGCATCCTATTATTATCAAATCTTAAAAAGCTCTTAACCCATGCAATCTTAAATTCGGGTCTCATTAAAAAATTTATTACAAATCAATTTAAAAATATAAATTTAAGAAACTCGTCAAGGCAAAAAACAAAAAATAACAAAAATACATCGAGCAAACCCAGCAACCAACATGAGTTAACAAATCAAACACATAACTAATTATAAGAAATTGGGATGATTCTGTAAATAAAAAAAACATCGGTAAAAACAATGCTTTAAAAAAAGACAGAAATCAACTCAAATTGTAAAATTGAGAAAAAAAAATTGCAATTAAAATAATTATGACTAGATTCAACATAAAAAAGAAATGTCCATGAAAAATAAAATGTTATGGATTGAATTGTACAAAAAAAATCCATTAAGAAAATGATTAAAAATTAAAAATAAAAAAAATTGAATGCAAATTTGACATGATAATAAAATGAAAATAAATGTCTAAGGGTAGAATTGAAAAAAATAAAAAGAATTAAAAGAATGAGGACCAAATTTAAAAATAATTTAAAAAAATCAAATGATCAAGGATGAAATTGAAAATAAAATCAAATTAGAAACAATCAATATAAATAAAACAAATAAGAATAAGAGAATAGAGACTAAATCCAAAAAATAAAAATAAAAATCGAAGGGTTGGCCAAAGAAGAAAGAGAAGGAAAGTGAAGAAATAAAGAAAATGAAAAGCAATTTCAGTCCAAACTATGCTAAATCATTATACATAGGCCATTCATAGAGAAAAAACGCTAAAATGAATCAAATGATATGATAGAATCATAGGTACAATTGCCAAAGCCAATCGCACTCGTTACCAGAAGATAAAGTAGCAGTTGACGCATGAAAGCAGGCATTAACAGTTTTTTTGTGCAAAACTAAAATTACTTTTAAAACTAAACAACATTAACAAGTAATCCATTGTTGAATTACAACCAAGCCTATAAATCTAAGGTTTAAAAACCTGAATTATAAGGGATAATGTGGTAATTCAATTCTTATATGAAATTTAAAAATATAAAAATATTCCTATGCACGGAGCATTGATTTTTTTATTAAATAGTTATATAAATAATTTTATTATACGTTTAAAAATTTAATTATCAAAATAACTTTGTATAATTCTTGAAAGATATTTTTGTAATTGTGAAAAGATCTCCCTACACTCGTAGCCAATGCAAAAAATAAAATAACCAAGAGATAAAAAAGTCATGGTAGTATTGTAATGAATATTGTTATATTTGTTGTGACACAATAAAACAGAGAATCAGTGTTTTGGATAAAGATAACAGAGAATCTATCATTTTGTAATCTCTTAAATAACTTTTTTAGAGTATGTTTGTAAATATAGTTGAGATTTTTTAATGTATTTTTATTTATGAATATATTATTTTTTTTAATTTTTAATTTTTGATACTATTACATAAAAATTTAAAAATAAATAAATTTAAAATAAATTAATTAAAATTTAATAAAAAGTCAACTCAATCATATTTTGAAATATTAAAAATAATCTCATTTTAATTTAACCGTTAATGAAAACTAATTATTTATTTGAAAATTTTAAAGACACGCCACCACGTCAGCATGGTCAATTAAACAAAAATAAAAATTGGATGTGAGCTCAGGATCTAAACCTTAAAAAATAAAGAAAAAAAACTATTACCTATCGCTAAAATCTTTTGAAATTATTCCTCACGTCACTTTTTTGGTAACCTCCATGGCAAGTTCACAAGTGGAAGACAGAAATATATTTCTTTCTTTCTTTGGTTAAACTGTCTCTATTTGATTTGGGTTTCGTGTGCTCAATTTTATATTCTTCGGTTAAACTGTCTCTATTTGAATTGGGTTTTGTGTGCTTAATTTTAAATAATGAAATTAATTGTAAAAATAATCGAGGATCACACTGGGATCCTAATTTTACTACATGGAATAGCAATAGTGATGAAAATTTAATATAAACATGTAGATCTCAACTGGCCTTAATGAATAGATTTTTTTATACAATATTATATATATATATATATATATATATTACAAATCGAAATATTTTACAAATATATTCATATAATATAAATATATACTTTAAATTAAGTTTTCGAGGACTTTCAAATTAGATTTAACAATACTCATATCTTATCTTATCTAGTATCTATTTAAAATGTATTAAAGAAATCTATTCATTAAAGCTAGTTGATATCTACATGCTTAAAACTCGACTAAGTCAAGTTGTGAATATAGAGATGATTATCAAGCTAAATTTATTAACACTGATATTGATAAAAAAAAAAAAATAATAGCTTAATCTTATAAACTTTGGTTGCAGGTAAATATTAGTGTATTTAGGGAGCATTTATTTTTGCAGTGGTATTATATTTTTTTTAAAAATAAAATAAAAAAAATATTTTTTTATTTTGTTGAATCATTTTAATATGTTGATATTATAAATAAATTTTAAAAATAAAAAATTATTTTAATATATTTTAAAATAAAAAAAACTTTTAAAAATTTTGTTAACACTGTAACAAACAGTACTTCATAGGCATGCGGAACAGGGCAAGGCCTTTTTCTCCATAATGTTCTTTGAAGTTTCAAGCACGTAATTATGCTTGATTTTCTCCGCACAACAATCACGGCGGCAACCTTCCAAGGCGGTCTTCCCAAAATTAATAATCCAAAATATTTCAATTTTCAACCAAGCTGTCGTTATATCATAAAATTAGCTAATGTTGTCCTTGAGTTTATGTAAACTATATCTAATTTGTCTTTTCATTAATTTTTTTATCCTAAAAAATTTATTAGATCACACAAGTTGCACAGCAACTCTTTATCCCGAAAATGCCTCCTTTATTCTCCTCCTCCATCGGCTGAGCTGGAAGAACATGATAAAATCAATCACACAATCCCAACATATCTGGACCATCCATTTGTTACAACCACAAATTCAAAGATCTATACTACTTTAATCATGATGTGCGACTCAGACACCTCAAATTTAAAATAAAAAAAATAAAATAAGAGCACCAGAACTCAAAAATCCAAATGGATACTCATCTGTAACGAACACAAATTCCCTAAATTCTTATTTAAAACAAATCTATGAGAAGATTCAGTACAAGTTGATTGAACCTTTGCTCATCCTGCTTTGTCTGAGAGTTCCTCCGAGTTATGCCTCCAAATTCTAGCACGGTGATCTCTCTCTCTAAATCCTCAATTTCGAAATTATCTCTAAAAATCTCGACCAAAATCAGAATTTTGTTTCAATCCTAGTTAAACTTCGAAGTAAACGGAGTGTAGAAAAGCCCAACTGTAGTGAAGAAAGGGAACCATCGACCTTCACTATCTCAACATCAAGCGACGATGTTTTTCTCTGTTTTTTTTTAACAGAATTAATGGCTTGTGTGTGTTTTTTTGGACAATACAGGTGAATCAATTACTGTAGCATCTGGGTGTTTGGAAAATCCTGTCGAGGATGACGTTTACTGGTTCAACAAGTGGTTGAAGAATTACATTCGAGAAAATTTTGCATTTGTCAAGGATTACGGGGTGTTTTTGTAAGTTTGTTAATGATTTTTTTAAAATATTTTTTATTTTAAAATAATATATTTTTAAAAAATAATTTTAATATATAATTTTAAAATATAAAATAATTCATTTTAAATAACTTTTTTCTTAAAGTTTCATGAAACACCAATTTCAAACGGCACCTATACATACATATATATATAT